AGGCCCGTTACCGGACTACCAAGACATGCGAGTGGTCATTATGTAGTGTAAGGAGCAGTTACGGTACCGTTCTGAGGAAGCCAATTCAGGGTAAGAGGAGATAAGAAGGGTTCCTTGTTGAGCTCCTAAACGAGGAGTGTCCATTAAGAAAAAGCCGCGAGTAGAGGAGATGGCTAGCCATGTCGCAGTCTGGACTGAGGACGAGGCTTGACGAGGATTATGGTAAATGAATGTTGGGAAGGCGGTAGGTTCAGAAGAGTTGCTAACTGACGCATGAAAGGGTCTCGTAGAGTGGCCTAAAGTTGGCTCGCCCACTTCCTGAACGCGGGATCTGCGAAAAAAAAGGATGCTGGATGCCTAAAAAACAAGTACAACCTTCCTCATTTTCGAACAAGGAGTACGCAATTGAGCGCTTCAACCACTGACTAATCAAGTTAAATGCGCATGCCGTGAAGCTGTACGAACGGTTAGTCGACTCGAAGCTGAGGGAGCTGCTTCCAATTTCGCAGGAACAGTTCGCATTAGAATGGAGATTATCGCTAGGCAAGCAAAGGAGAAGTATCGAGTGAAGACGACCCTGTTTCCTGGTTCTCTTCGACCTGATATAAGCTTTCGACGGTCTAACGCGAGCTCCTCGTGAGGGCGTTCATTCTGAAGGGTCTAGTGGAGTACGTGTATGATGCGGCTAGGAAGGTAATACGCATCCGATACGGCCTGACAGGGAAGGCAGATATCATGGTTGGGGTGCACAGAGTAACAGCTTAGCCCTTCTTCCTATAACCCTACATGCCATGATGAAAGGGCTCACGCGGGGAACACTGAGGAACATTCTCAATGCAGGGACATCCTTCTGATAGCAAACAACAGAGAAGAACTTTAGAACAAGGTGCAGAAACGGCATGAAGTGGTGGCAGAAGTTGAGCTCCAGTAAAACGTGAAGAAGATTAAGTTTCTGCGCTCCAAATTCACAAGATCGATAAACAGTCATGGGGAGGCATCCAAAGAGTGAAGACTCCCATTAACTGGAATGACCAAGCCCTGATGGTAGTATTACGCAGTAATAGGCACGCAGGCACGAATCAACACAACTTGGATGAAGTGAAGGGAGTCCACTGGAATTCTCAGCGATGCAGGGTGCTCCGGAACGCACAAAGGAAAGGTGTACCGGACAGTGGTAAGGCTCAAGCTGC